TCATACTTTTGACATTAATTGATGTCAAATGTCAATCATGCGTGCAAAGTTTCTGATGGCAATGTCAATTGATTGAATCAATTATGACTGAGCGTAGATCTTATGGGAGATAAATTAATAACGAATATTAACGTTAGATGCTGAACTTTAAATGTTACCTAAAGTCTATTGTAGTTGGGGAAATCCTTAGGGAGGCCTTTGTTTGAAACTAAAGGCTTTCTGTGACATACCAAATTTTGCAAGAACGAAGAATTTATAATATTTTGTATGAGATGTTGTACCATGACGAATCAGAACGGAATCGGTCATCGCATACTAAATGTATGAAACATTTTGGTTGAGTTGCACCTCTTTATTTTAACCGTGACTTAACGATAACCGATGTTTTATGCATAAAGTTTGACAGAATTTTGACGTTTGTTAAGGTTAAAATAAGATGGTGCAATCCGTTAGTATGCGATGCGTCAGAAACTATCACAACACTCAAGTTTAAACGTAACCATACAAGGTAAATGTATCAAACCGTTTCCGTTTTGATGCGTCACAACGCGTCAGACAAAAATATCCGCCCTCCACATGCAGTCGCTCGTTTTGGCTGTAAAAACTCGTCATCTGGACCAATTGTATAAATACTCGTACGTCATCAGCGTCATCGCGCCATAAGCCACATCCAGTTTCTCTACTGCCAGTGGGGCATGTTAATTACGGGAGGGCACATAAATTTGTCTCCCTGCAGTTTTGTGCCGCTAGTTAGTCATAAGCCCCTGGTTCACGCGTTCGTACTTTAATAACAATATACGGGGTAATTAACTGTTAATTGTAATTTAGTGACGAGTTTTTAAGGGACTTTGTTTTGTGCTGGTCGTGTTTTGAGTTTGTAGGCTAATTTTGTTTCCGTTTGTTTATGTTTTAAGTTTTTGGGAATTGCAGTAATGTAGTAGTCGTTTAAATACGTTTATTTTATCTACTTATATTTTTCACAAAAAATTCTAGTTAGGAATCGCGATTGTTAGTTAAAGAAAGTTAGGTATAGGCCTTGTTCAATGGACGGACGATCTCAGTGGGTAGAGGAAAAAAAATAAAATTTTGTGAGTTAAAGGAGAGCTTACGACCACAGTGGCATTTGATGATGATGATTTTGAATTTGATTGTTCTAGTTTCAGTGACAATAGGCTAGTTGCCTAAAAAAATTTTTTTAGTCCGTAATGTTTAATATCAAAAATATTGGACACATATATTTTTATTTGTCAATCTAACAAATAATTACATAGTTATGGTGCGTTGAAGTTGCGCACGACGTCACAACGTGCGGCATTTTTAAGCAAGCGTTGACGTCACGGGCCTCTTCTTATGAACTTTGGGGCGCTTTATCTCTTTAAATTTTCATTAGTTTGAAAAAGTGAAAAATACGTGTAGAGTATTTTTTGATAAGTTAACTGACGGACTAACTAAAACTCTTGCTTTTTGACCCAGGCAACATCTCCATTTAAATATTAATAAAATGGCTTCTTGAGGTACCTACTTAACTTGGGCGATAATTAGCTACTGCTATCTTTCATGATATCAATTGAATTATGTATTTATATTGTTAATTATGAAAAATCTAAAACGTTAAAATAGCGGTATCGTTATAGCCAATGAGCTGCTGTCATAGTGACATTAACGTATTGTCAATGTCACACGAGAATCAAACGTCAGAATAGAGGGACGCGCGGAGATGACTCCGCGCGCTTTTGTGCTAAGTGATGAATTGTATCTAAAATAAGGCAATATAATGTGAAAGTTAAGTATCCAGTGTTTTATTTATGAGAATAGATCGACCGGCCTCTAATAATATGAAGGCTCAATGTTAACTAAAAGCAGTTTAGACAGTAGTACATCCACTACGAGGAAGCTCTAGGCCTGTATCTCACCTGATGGTAAATGATGATCAGGCCGAAGATGGAAGCGAGCTTCACACGGAATTCTCAACCACGTAGGGACTGGCTATCTTACCTCTAACTGCCGGAACACAACAATGCTGTTAATATTGTTGTTATGGCGACAGACTGTCGTCAATGAACTTGTTTCCCTGGTTTCCAATTTTCCACCTTAATAGATATAATGATAAAAGAAATATTGTTATTTGAATAGTAAGTGATCGTGACAGCGGCATGACGTCATAATAGCGGAATAAAAACCCATGGAAAATGACAGATGTTACAAATAATGACAGCGGTCCCCTCAAATTACACGTCACCATTGTCCGATTGCTTCACAAATGACACTTTTATGGGTTCCTTTACGGGAAATAAGTGAAAAAGAAATCATTTGAAGAAATAAAAGAATAACGATGAAATTATTGAAGTGTTCTTTTAAAGGAACAAAGAAAATGGTGTTTAATACCAAAGTAACAGACGATGCCAAATCGAGCTAATCACTCTTATAAAAAGTGCGATATTGCAAAAAAAAAATTTTCTGATACTTATTTATGTTGACAGTACTTGGAAATAAACGTAGGAGGTCTTCAAGTATTGTTAAACTTCCAAAATAAATTTTATGTTAATGGATTATGTGTATCTCCATTTTACCCTTAAGGGAAACGCCTAACAATTGTTTCGAGTAACAAAGATGACGTCAATATGTATACACACTTATCAATAAACTTCTTAGCAATCAGCCAACGTCACAAAATTGTTCGATGGACCTTGATCAAGCCAGAGTTAAGCAAGGATTTTTTAAAAAAACGAAGTAGGTGGTTCTGTCTTGGTCTGTATGCAGAACAAGGCAGGTATTTGACCGCAATCACACCTGATGTTAAGTGAGATGCAGTCTAAGGGCTATATTTCACCGGGACACCATGGAGGCGCAACCAGTCGCCGCTACCAACAAAATCCAAAAGTTATCACGGCGCGCATCTTAGGCCTACAGGTGAGTAACTCTCTATTTAGAGCTGTATACATTATGTTGGTAGCCGGCGACTGGTTGCACCGCCATGGTGTCCCGGTGAAATATAGCCCTAAGTGTTCGTACATACATACCTGCCTAGTAATTGAATGCCCTATTAATTGAATGTCTTCATGTCTACATTAATATGTGAATAATGGATCTTGTCCCTGTGCTTCAGGCATCTAATGATTCGCTTATGAAGTAAGTACTCGGGTTTCTGTGTAGAAGTCGCTAACCATTGATTCTATTTAAACCCCTTTACTTGGAGAAAAACCTAATATTCTTGTAGAATATGAGAAATTGACCTTATTGAGTATCGAACCGCATTTACTGCTTAACGCTATTGCACTTAAAAAAAGCATTTAAGTCGCCCGCAGATGTGGCTTCATTATGAAATATTATTACGTAGAAAAAGTGTTCATTTACTTGATAAAACTCAATTGTATTGTAGCAATAATAAAAGAGCCAAACACCGCGACAACTCATTGTATAAGAGATGCGGTTAAAGTTTTCTAAACATTCATGCAATTGCATAGGTTTTTGTTTGCTATAAACGTAACATGGACAATTGTTATAACTTTGACATTGTTTTTACTTAAACAATTTGTTTAGTTTGTTTTTAAAAAATGTTTAGCTAAGAGTATTGTTTGTGATTAGTATGGAAGTTATGTTTGATGTGATAAAAGGTATAGATAAAAGGTAGTTCATTAGGTGGAGAGTTGACACCCGGATAATTCAAAATTAGAGTACAAGATCATGTATTGTATAAAATATTTTTGTTAGGATATAATCCTTAACAAGTAGTAAATACGTATTTGTTTACGAACTTGTTGTGGAAAGTTTAATTAGTTTATTTGCATTTTGGCACTTATATTATTGTGTGACTACTTTGAGGGCATTATCTAAAAATATTTTAACTATCTTAGTTACTGGGTTGGCTTCTCTCCACATCCTATGGCGTACTCGATGCAGGCTAGTTGAAAGGGTAATTAAATCCAATTGAAACTTGCACGATCTTTATCTAAAGTTGAGAGGCGCAGGATAATTAATTAATGTGTACTGCAGTTGTTCCTTCTTATTATTTTAACATCTGCATTGAGCATTATAATCATCAAACCATTAGTTTCAAGGCTAAATAAGCATGTGTGTACGCGTATAAACCTTATTAATATTTTAAATATGAACGTTTGTCAGGAAAAATGGACTGATTTAGATCAAATTTGGCACAAATTTAGTTCGAGATCTAAGAATCACCGGATAGTTTTTATCCTGGTTTTTGGATGGCGAACACGCGCGCAATAACGAAATAAATAAATAAAACTTTATTCACATAGGCGAAGCCGCGAGATTATTATACTATGCCGGGGGCAAATGTTTAAAGTCGAGAAAAGACTGGAAAAATATCGTAGTAAAATCCAACGAAAACAAATCCCATTATTTTTGCACTTCTGTTATTAGAAATATGACTCTGTAACAACCTTCGATTAAAGTGTCCGTTCTAGATTTTTGTTAAAATGAAACTCAAATAAGGCATAGGTACCTACTAAAACAATTTAAGTATTTTAATGTAACATGGAATAGGTAATAATTTCAAGGGTAGAATTTGCAGTCTGCGATAACTGAAATTCAAGCGGGAAAAGCCGCGAGAGGAGTATAGTTTACAATTAAAATATCATCAATAAAATTTCAAGCATAAAAAATATTATGCCTCAACTCTAGGAGGACCGTAATGTAGTCATAAATATTTAATAGGCATATTAAGCAGTTAAAGCGTATTAACATTGAGTTATGGATGTCAGACATATCCGACGATTACGACAAGAATAAAGCACAAAAGACTCGTTCACCGTTTTACGAGACCATTCCGAATGAATGACGTGATAATAGCCACCGTTACTTTCGCATAAAATTCAACTTTTCACTCTCCAACTATCAATGCACAGTCAATTAACTTCCCGTTATAGCATCTTGCTAGACTTCAATACAATTTAATCAACTACTCCGCTAATGCAAGGATCTAAGATAAAAAGAAAACAAAGGAACTCTTACTAAACGGCTTTCTTTTGTTACAGATGAAAATTGCGCCGATGTGAAGAGGAACAAAGATGGACCTTAAATATTTGATCCTAATGATCGCTTTCGCGACAGTTGAAATAAACGTAACTGAGAGCCGGCAAAATGACAAAAGACGGTGGAAAAACGACAAGAGCTACTCGCACTACGTCAACATTTGCGATATTCAAGATAGGGTGTCCAAAGTACATTGCTACTGCGAGAGCGTAAAGATAAAAACCGCCACAAAGGCCGATTGCTGGGTATTCAACGGCGGCATAGCGGAGGACGATCCCTTTTGGTCAAACTTTTATTCGCAGCCAAAAATAGAGAAGCTGACTTTTAACGTCCGAGCGGACGGCGGGCTCACTTACATCCCGGCCAAAGTGATTGTGCGCCTGGAGCACCTCCAGTACCTCAATATCCAATACGCGAACATTTTCAGCATTCCCTCGTTCGCATTCACGAATTCGACCACACTCCGAGAAATCACTTTGCCCAAGAACAAAATAACGAAACTCGAAAAGATGGCGTTCGCTCATCTACTGCGGTTGTCAAACGTCAGCCTAGCAGAAAACCAGATATCGGAACTGAACAGAGACGTATTTTACTACCTGCCGAACCTTCAGCGGTTGTACCTATCGAAGAACACTATAAGCGTTTTGCATGACGGCTGTTTCAAGCACCTCAGTAACCTGATAAGGCTAGACCTCGACAACAATTTGCTGACCGTAGTGATAAGAGAGAACTTCCAGGGTCTGTCTAATTTGATTACACTAGATATGAGGAACAACAAATTAACATTGATAGGGGACCTGGCGTTCGCCGAACTTTGGAGTCTCCAAGAACTTTATTTGGACGGTAATGAAATACAGTATATAGACGGCAGAGGTTTTGGAGGATTGACGCAACTGAGGAAACTTTCTTTGGCCGACAATAAGTTGGACGCAATAGACGAGGGAGTGCTCAGTGATAATCTGAAGTTGACTGTGTTGGATTTGAGAAATAATAACTTAGAGACGCTGCGACAGGAGGCCGTTCAGAATGTTTTGGAGAACATGAAGACGAATTACGCTTTAATATCTCTAGATGGTGAGTTCTTAAACTTCGCTACAAATTATCTATGTTGTTCAGTACTTTGAGCGTTCCGTTTTGTTGATACCGACATAAAAACTTTGTACGGCTTGAATTATTGATGGACGCTTTTATTTGTTGGTACTTTTGGGGATACAAATATTTTATACATAGTAATTTACGGTAAGTGAAAACGTTTCTGTTGGGACAATAAGTTTGCGTTTCGTTCGTTTTATTTTTTGGGATGTTTATATTCTTTGTTTGACACCAAATCATATCAATACTATAGTCGTAATGACGATAGGTTAATTTACAATAATTGTAGTGATCAATAGTAATACACTGATTGGATCAGCACTAATTACTATACGAGACAATAGATCAATCAGGAGCTCTATACAAATTACTAAAAGCTATCGCAAATTAATTGGAATAAGTCATACAGTTGACCTGCTCGGGGTAAATAGGTACTTTGTAGAAGGCTTCGTTCGAAAGTAATAACTATAAGAGCGTGTGCAGATTTGGCGTTTTATCCCCGCTCAATATTTGATGACACTGTGTAGGTTTGTTGTCGACACGAAAAGAAGAAATTTTTTTTGATCATTTGATACAACCTCTGACCTTCCCTTTGGCCAGTATAGACACAATCGGAGATGGGCTGTTACAGATACTTGATTTTTTATTGTTTGGTTTAAATTATGGTCTACTGACTATACCTTGATACTGTAAATAATCCAAACTTGGATGATGATAGTTCCAAAAAACTAATTGTATGAATCATTGTCGTTTTCTGCTAAAAACGAACTTCACACACAACGTATCTCATGAAAACAAAAAGAAAATAAGTGCTGATGCCTGTGAAAAAACGTCAGGTCTACAAACGCCTGAAAGCTTGTGAAATTGGCCGTGTATTAACGTCTTGGAGGTCAAATCGTCTGCTTCTCGGAAAAAGGCAAATGGTTCGTGATAGATATTATCAAAATAACCGATTTTTACTTACTAAGTATCGCCCGTATTCACAAACGATGCTTGCTTAAGTGAAGCAGCAAATCGAAAGCTCAGCGTTGAATAGAGCTCTGCGATTGGTTCGTATGTGACCTTGTTCGTCCACGCGCACTGTGAGACCTCATAGTAATGTTTGCATATACGGGCGTATATGTATGTAGTCTGTAGGTAAACTTTGAAGAAAATTGATATTATTGTTACCGGGACATCTACTGTGTAATTATGGTAATTACTAAACTTTGACTAAAATAGTTTTCTTTGTAAATGCCTAAATTGTTGTCGTTCGGACTTTGAACCTCCCACAAAGTGTTTTCAAAGTGTCTAGGCATAGCTAATGAGAGTCAAATTTACATATTTTTTCTTTCTCTTCTTATTCTTTCTAAGAAAATTTTACTCACCATTACTTACCATTTTTATTAAAAGTAATATAAGTGTTACCTAATGTGAACATTTATTATAAAATACGATCACATATTTGATTAGGTAGGTACTCACTTATTCAAGAAACGTAATAATGTGTGATCTACAAACGTACCTAAGCGTTAAACCTTTAGTTATTAGAGTTCACTTAAGTGGGCTTGGGCTTAAATTTTTTACGCCTTTACGCCTATTTTTGATAGAAACTCGATACATAATAATATTAAGAGTAGGCGCACACCGTTGATTTTTAGTTGGCAGATAGTTGAGCCCGATTTTAAATTGTATGAAGAATCGGCCAAATCGAATCGGCGTAGTGTGCGCCCTCCCATACATGCCCAATGCCCATACTGATCAACTGCCCGACTAAACTATCGGCCGATGAAAAATCAACGGTGTGCGCCTACTCTAAAAGTGAAAACAAGCTAGTTATCGTATTTTCTTTAAAAACAATTAGGACCTAATACAAGCTCTTTGCATGATGTACGAATCTTAGCTGACCGGTCGTTGTGGAAACCCTTGAGGGAGGCCTTTTTCCAGCAGTGGACGTCATTTGGCTAAAACGAACGAAATGAAGCTCAATCATTAATATCAAGGTTGTGCAGTTTCACCCAATAACTAATCAGTTGAACAATGCGTGAGCATTCTGAAATGGATCCTTAATTATTGGTTTTACATCAATTGTTAATTGGGGCGCATCATTCGCTTCACTAGTTCGACCTCACAGAAGGCATCAGCTATAACTTATAACAGACAAATAAACGACATAGATGCATCTCATACGAGTGAAATTATGTAACTATACAATGTATTTTTTTATATATAATGTAGGTAATTTTACTACTCTATTGGCACTAAGTATAAAGTCACTTATCGTTCGTTCGTTTCAGCCAAATGACGTCCACTGCTGGACAACGGTCTCCCCCAAGGTTTTCCGCAATGAACGGTCCTGCGCTGCCCGCATCCAGGCTCATCCCGCGACCTTTACCAGATCGTCAGTCCACTTAGAAGGAGGCCTGCCCACGCTACGTCTTCCAGCCCGTGGTCACCACTTGAAAACTTTTCTGCCCCAACGGCCATTTATAAACGCCACTTATGCGCCAACTCAATTGACTATTTACTATCGATTCAAAAGATCCGTAAAGTCTTACATATTACAGCCTATTAAAAATATTTGGGTTTCAGGGCTAAAATGAATATGCCCTGCTTTTAAAGCACAACTTCTTAAGAAGTTGCGAACTAATAAACAACTCTGTTGTTTCTTTAGAATGTAACGAACCAACATAAACTCAAAAAAAAAAAAATAGGAGAATTATGATGAGTGAGTCCTAATTCCTAGATCCTATAGATAGCATCGCCGATCCTATAGATGCATTGCAACCGATTACTGATGATGATGATACCAATGATATGTATTGGTGGGTAAATCAAATCAACAATCATTGATAAAACATAGCCAAAGTGTATTATAATTTGATATGATATTTAATCAGCGTCTATGGAGTTATTTGTCTACGGTAATAACTAATAGATCGGTTATAGGCGGCTCAAATTGATCGTAAAGAATGTATTGGATTAACGTTTCATAGTTGTGTGATGACTAGCTATTTTATTTGGCTTTTTAAGGCTACTTCATGATAAAAATGGCGTCATTATGTCAGATATTGTTAAGAAATATGACCTCAATATCAGAACATTTGAAGATATTGAAGATTTTCTTACCGACCCTTTTTGTTTTTAGTAATGTATCTTTTTCAGGGAAAACTTAATTAACTGTTTATGATACTGCATCGTGCATTTAAGTTTAAATGAGATGTCAATTGAATAAACATAAGTTATTTATTTTGTGGTTTTAACAAACTAATTAAAGCCTTATTAATTTTAACCCCACAGGATTATTGAACAGTAATCGCAATATCAGTTTATTGGCAGTAACCGCAAAAACACATTATTTTAATGAGAATTCTCGATTCAGATTAAAAAGCAACTTTGCACCTTTTAACTCTACGTTAAATTTCACGAACAGTTAGTTCGTTATGACCTGTTAATTGTTGCAGTTAAGGTAATTAACATTATGAAATTTTAACACCAAGCTGAATATGCTTTTGATGTATAATTCAGATATTATTGCCATCTGACTTTACAACAACGCTTGGTTAATGTTTTATGACGTCATTCAGTTATCGGGCTAGGGTTTTCATTGAAGTGGCATTATGTTCAAAATTAAACCTAAATCAAATCTACGCTCAAGTCTGAACCGAGTTTTGAATAGGTATCTTTTCTGAAAACATTCATTCTATGTTTATGATTAGCAGTAAGTATACTTGCATAAATAGATTTACGCCCGTATTAACAAACATTTCTATGAGGTCTCACAGTGCGCGTGGACCCACAGAGTGACACACGAACCAATCACAGAGCTCTATTCAAAACTGTCCGTTCGATTTGCTGCTTCACTTAATCAAGCATCGTTTGTGAATACGGGCATCAGTGTCTTGATTGTATCCTACATGTTGCTGACTGTCATCCGTCAAAGAAATTAGCAGACGGTGTCTATGTCATTCATGGCCACCAGTCTCTTTGAGCCTTGCAAATTACAAAAAAGGCAATGAATCATCAGCGCAATGCTTCCTGCGACATTTTAATAGGGCCTATATTCCGCGCGATATTTTCCGCCAAACTGCTCGCCACTGTACGGCATTGTTGCTATGATTTAAGGCGCTTTGTGTGTGTTAATTCGGTTTTGTGGTCTGTTTATAGCTGCAGTCAGCGACCGCACGATCCTGGCGTTAGGTGTAATGGTTGTGTAAGATTATGCGGTTTGGAAAGTCCCGTGTTATTGGTTATACAGCGTTCTAAGGGCGTTGCGTCTACAAAAGCATCTTCACTTCTTGACATCCACTGTTGAAAAAGACCTCCCACAATGATTATCCTGCATATCAGCTCAATTCAGCCTATTTTCAGTCCCATGTTGGACCTAGATTTCTTAAATCTCGCACTGTTTACATTAGATGATTAGACAAATTCTTATTTAGGAGCTCACTAAACTTCACTTAGGTAGGTAACTTTTAGTGTCAAGAATGTCTTTTAATAATTCTCGTGTTATTGGTTCGGTCACAGTGTTCTAAGGACGTTGCGTCTACAAAAGCATCTTCATTTCAGCCACTTGACGTCCACTGTTGAAAAAGGCCTCTCACTGTGATCAACCTGGACTATCAGTCTATTTTCAGTCTCCTGTTGGGCCTAGATTACTTAAACTCGTTTACATTAGACAAATTTTTATTTAGGAGCACACTAAACTTCACTTAAGTTGGTAACTTTTAGTATCAGGAAAGTCTTTTTAATAAATTTTAAATTTATATTTCTTTTTATTTATCCCTTCAAGTACCAGCGAATCGGGACACATAGTAATATTGTTACCTTGAGACCCTTAGCGTTCCACGAGTTATAAAACCACTTTGTCACCAACAACACATACCTAGGTGATTTTAGCATTACACTCGTAACACCGGAATCAGCAATAAATCTACGTAGTTACCAACCAATGGATTTAAACGTCTAAATTCTCGTATTTCATTGTCAAACAGGTAACAAGCTGAGCTGCGACTGCCGCCTCTCCTGGCTGCACAAACTGAAGAACGAGACCAAAAGCAAGCGCACAAAATCGTCCCTCAGTCGCCTGGTCTGCATCATGGACAACAATTTGAAACCCAACCTCTTTGGTATTAAGGTCGTATCCAAAACCGAACCCCCTCAAAAAATCAACGCGGTCATGTTTAAAAATAACTACGACGATAATGATGAAGATTTCGACGATGATAGAACGTATGATGATACAATGCAAGATCAAGTGACGGAACTGGAGTCAAAGATCGAGTATCGGAGGAGACTGCTGGAAATTCCTACGGAAATGCTACCGTGTCCCAATAGATTGAGCTATGAAGCATCCTACTCACCCCCTACTCAAGATGAAGTTAAGTATTACAAGGCTTCTTCAAGTGACAAAGTACGGAGCGTCAGTTGGATACTTTTACTTGCTATGGCGTTCATTTTGTAGCAGAATTTTGAACCTGCTTCTAAATCTCAGTATCTATCATTTTGAACGATATTCGTGAGTTGAAATTATCATCTTTTAAATCAGTAACCTAAGTTAGACATTTATTATTATTGTAATGTATTTTGAGTATTTATAAATCAAACTATGAAAATTTCATCTAGTTTATTCAACAAAGCATTTAGCACCCACAGAAGTTATACTCATAAGTAAGCATGTAAATATAAATCAAGTTATTATAAGTATAAGTTAAGGTTTGAATGGGTCTGTTTGCACATTTATTTAAAGGTTAAGGTAAACACAGTATTTCCTGTATAATACAAATAGTATAACTTGTATCTTATTTAAAATAAACTAAGTTAATTCAATTACCCAATTAGTGTAAGTATAAACTCTTAAGTTCGTACGGAAATTAATTAAAATTGATAAAGTGTTTACTGAGAATTTTCTTCAGCTATTTTCGTGGATATGACCAATTATTGTTAGCAACATTTAATCTTAATTTAAAAAAGATTAAACTCTACTTCTAAGAATTGTTTCCATGTTATTTTCAAGTTAAAAAAAATGTGTTAAAACCAACTCAAAGCAAAGTAAACAAGGCGTATGTGTTTTCAAACGTTTTATATTGAACTAGATTTTCAATTTATTTACAAAACGACTATAAAATAAATTGAAAATATAGTTTTATTAAGATCGACAAACAGGCAGGATGTATGTGGATATTTTTCATCATTTTCCATTTAATACAATTTTCATTACTCAATAATAGTCATTGACGAATATTGAGTAATGAAACATAAAGGTAGCAAGAAGAACTCATAATAATAAGACATAAGGACGCTGGATGCTGGCCGCTACCAACCGGGCGATGTGGAAATCAGTGGGCGAGGCCTATGTTCAGCAGTGGACGTTCTGTGGCTGAAATAATGAAGATGAATAAAACTCAATGTAGTCATTGCTCAATGACTGTACATTGAGTAATGAATTACATTTTCTTCACAGTTGTTTTGCTACGATTACACGAATCGAGTCTAATTTTAAACTAATTTACACAGTTGATACAAATGTTGTCACAATTGGACTAATTCCACGATTGTCAAAGAGGTTGTCTGTTTGTTTTTCCTTTCCGTATTTACTTCCACGAGACATGTTTATGTTTTCTGTTAGTTACTTACAATTAGTTAATTTGTCATCAATAGTGTTTATTACCTCAATTACAAGTTTCGAGACTTTGTATTAATGAATATTGTTAGAGGGAAGACTGGAGTAATAATTTCATTAATTATAATTTATGCATAAAACAACAGTGATTTACAAACCAAAGATTATTCTCGAAACAAATCTTCGTTATTTATGTTTACAAGTCGGGTTTAATTATGTTATTTTGTTTACGCGGGAATGTAAATAAACAATTTTAATGTAACTTATTCTATTTGAGGTGTGGATACAATAAATTGATACTTTTTCAAAGGAATTGTTTTATTCTTGGAATTTTGATTATTGGTGTAGGCGATACAAAATTACAAATGCTTAATAAACAAACGTGGGTAGTTCCAATTAAATTTGGAATATAATTTGTTAACATACGTAGTTAGTAATAAAAATATAAAATAAGTATAGTTGACACAGCAAATCTATTGACATGCCTTTTATGAAACGTTAATCAATTCCCCTGGACTTAGATAAAGTCTTTTTTGATTTCAAAGCAGCTTGAGACCAAGTCAAATCATGAACATTATTTTGGTACTTATCAACTTCAAAAATAATTTAAACAAAAAAGGTTAAGGGGCACTTTACATGTCTCAACCAGCAAACCCAATTTGACAGTAATTAAAAGAACTTAGTTTAAAATGTCACTCCTACTTCAGACTGATATTTTTTGGAATTTGATCGGATTAAGCTAGAAATCAAATTCAAATTAAAAATTATTCATTTTCGAAATTATTAATAGCTGGAAATTTCAAAATAAAGATAAATTAAAACAAATTTTGCATCCAAAATTGCGCTGTTTCAAAGTCTTTACGAAACAAATTGACAAAACAGCCATAATAACAAGCCGGTCCAAGTTTAATCCCCTCACGTGGCCAAATTGGGCGGCATTGAGCGTAACAATGATTATATATGCGTTTGAACCAACTTCCAGCGGTCGCTGTCAAGTTGAACGCTGTTAAGCTGCTGGTTTGGTAAGTTCAGGTTTGTATTTTGCGACTATTGTGTTAATGAGGACAATGAATATAATATTATAAACAAGAAAACAAATATATGTAGCTTCTTCTCTCCGTTTTCTTAACAAAAAGAAAGTGTTTCAGTACTCAATACAGATCTAAACTACAGAACCCTAAAAAGGTGAGTACTGAACGTTTATTGCTTACCTACATTTATTTCAGAAATAAAAAATCTATCTAAAAAAATACATAATCTAGCTATGCATAAAACAATCCTTATTACATTATGTTTATTATTACTTACATTATGATAAGGTATAAAAACTTTTTATTATTACTTCCAAATGAGCTCATGAGCTCTAGAAGTCTAGACCAATTTAAACGGGCTAAAATTACTGCATGAAAAGAGAGTCCCGAGACTATGGAAAAATTACAAGGAATCAGAATGTACATAATCACGCAAACAGAGCCACGAGCGAATCCTTGTGGTGTAAAATAATTGTATTTTTCGAAGAGTTTTATTGGAGTTCAGTATGCAAATTGAAGGTTTCACACAACAAGGGATCCCAACCCTTTTTTACGATCCACACGAGTAATTGATGAAAATCGTAATGAGAAACAATCCGATGTATAGACGACAGCAGATCAGACTAGGTATACATTTTTGTTGCAAAATAACCTCTATTGCAACGAGATAAAGGCCACCATGTTTAGCTGTTGTCGGTATCTACTCGTATTGTATTCAATTTTCCCTTTGTAAAAATGGACGGATATAAATTTTTGGTTACAATAAAAAGGTTTGGACGTTATTGAGGATAGATTATAATATATTTTTATTTAGGTATTTTTTGTGGCTTCATAACAAGAATTTTAGTTTTTTATGTAGTTTTTAAAGCAAAATGTAAAGGTCATTTATAAATAAGGCTCTACTATAATAATATAAAGTCTATCTAATGGTCAACGACAGTCGTTAGTTTTTATTAACAGAACATTTTGAGTTTAAATTACTTTCATTTCTCTTATTTCCTTGAACTGGAGATAATAACGCGTAAGAAAACAAAACACGGTAGATTATATTTAACTGGTTCAAGTTTGAAACTTGGTTATTGTTGAGGAGGGAACAGTAGAGTCAATTTCGTTGTCTAAATGCAAATATAGAAATGAAACGGTACAGTGCATTTATCGCCATCTTGTTTAGTGGTTTGCGTACCAGATTATAATGAAAGCAGCTGTGGGTTCCAATCCCGCCAATGGCGACTGTAACATTGACACAAAGTCATTTCCATTGGAGACAGATTTTTCTGTTCGGTTTGGTTGGTGGTTGGGTAAGTCCGCCTAGCTAGCTACCAGCAGTACCAGCATCTTACCTAAGTCTTACCATAACAATGCAATGTTTACGGGTTACCTACGTGAGTGCGACAAACGTTACATCGTGTTGTGTTTGAGGATTCCAGGTGAAGTTCGCTTCCACCTTCGGCCTGATCATCACTTTCCATCAAAATAATGAGTTTGTAGACCAAGAGCTTGCTCGTTGTGGATAAAAAAATGCATAAACTTAACTTTCCTTACAAAAAATGATAAAGTAATGTTTTAAACCTAATATTTGGTCACTCAGTTTTGAACAAAAGGTCGCCATGTTCGCAATAAATGGTTTAAAAATATTGCTTTTTTTTTTAGTTTACTTACGTTTAACGATCTTGACATCGCTTCAACTTGTCGTTGGAGCAAACTTTAAAATTAGTAATTGTTTCAATATTATAAAAGAATCTTTGTGCTAAATTATTTTAGGCTATCCCCATAGCCTTTGTGAATCAAATCAGCTCCCTTATGTTTATGAAATCACAAAATCCGAAGTTAAATCGGCTCTCTGAGTTGGGCCAGAGTTGTAAACATAAGCGGCACTGTTACTGTTATTTTGGAGATAAGATGGGTAAAATGGCACAGTTCGCTTATTATTGCCATTCGGAGTTATTGTTTATTGAACCTGACCCTCGGACGGGGCCTCCCTTGAACGAGGTTATACGAATAAAGTAAACTAACATTATACGGCCGAGGATGTTACGCATAATTTATTCGTGTCATCCTTTTATATGATTGTGTTTCGTACTGAAATAGATTTATTAGTAGTTAAAACAGTTAACAAAATTTATCCTACGCCGCAAAATTCATTTATAGGAAACAAAATTATTTTTCCCTCTCTTCCAATCTTCCATCCTACCCTATTCTCTTTATTGTCTTTAACTTCTTTAATTATGTATTTATTTCTGACGTACTTATTCTTAGTCTTAATTTTAATAGGATATGAAACAACAGAATTTGTTTTTTTTTTCAATTTAATTATTTGTATCAAACTGGCAACCCTTTCAATCTGAAGTTGCTCCAGCGACAAAGCAGTGTGAAGTTAGTCGCGATTGCAGACGCGAGTCGAGTTTTGAAACGCTCGTGCGCAACAAAACGGTTTATTTATTTCGGCAGCCACCTGAATCTAATCATTTTTTCCAAAATCTAGTGAATTCAGTGAGGGGTTCCTGTGGAATTTGTGGTGTTCTTCATCAATACGTCAAAAGCCAACAGTACTTCGGACTCGGAGATATGCCAGATCCAGCGAAGCACGCGGCTGGAAGGAGAAGAGGTTTGTTCGCTGTTTATTTTTTTAATTTAGTTAAACCTTAAATTGTAGCAAAAACCTTTCTTTTGTAAGTTTTAGAAGAAGAAGAAAGTCTAGAGGTCTATTTCGTTGTTAAACATTTCTAAACTTTCTTTTTTGCCTGAATTTTGAATATTGAAATTTGAATTAGTATTGATTTTAGCAACCCGGCGTTAGTCTATCCATTACGCCAATCAGCCCCCGTGGTCTGATGGTCCGCTGTTCAAATCCTAATAGGGGCAAATATTGGGTTGATGATTTTGTCACTTTGTAGGATCAAGAAAGACAATGGTCCTTAAAAATGCCTGTAACTGCGAGCAATTTTCAACCCATTCGTAACTTCTAAAGTTGTACGGAACCCTAAAGCAACCTTTTTAAGACGTCAACAATACTTTTGCCGGGATCACATCTGTCAAGTGCAATGAAAAGGTACACAAAATGTTTTCGCCTTTACCTCAGAAGCAGGCCTGATGACAACAATTATGTATTCCGGTCGAATAAGGTCTTTTGTCCGGTGGAAAACATTTTGTGGTCTCGTTGTTTGTTACTTATTAAAGTGGGAACTAAAACAGGTAGGTACCTACGCCAGAAGTAATACGCAATCTTTATAACACCAAATATGATAGTTTATAATAGGCCTTATAAAAATAAAAATAAAAATAAAAATAAAAATAAAAATAAAAATAAAAATAAAAATAAAAATAAAAATAAAAATAAAAATAAAAATAAAAATAAAAATAAAAATAAAAAATGTATTTAATATTGAATTGTATACAGGGTGGAATCGATGAGTGATCTCACTCGATTATTTCTAAACAATAAATACAACATATCGAATAACTGGTAAATCGATCCTGAAAGTGCTTCACAAGTTCTTTCAAACGGTACTCGTACCAATAATAAGTTACAGAATAAACTAGAACTATCCAAAAATATACCATTTGATAGAGCTCACGAACCACTTTCAGGATAAGTAACTAGTTTTATAAATATATTTTGTATACTTTAGAAATAATCGAGTGAGATCACTTATCGTTTCCTCCCTGTAGATGTCTTTAGCGATGTCATCATGATCATCATTCCAGCCAATAAGGCGTTCACTGTTGAACATCATATACAGTGATTACATTTCCATATAATATTCAATACCATAATACTGTAAAAATATAGATATAGGTAGCAGCTGAACTGGTGTATACCATACGTATGTTACACTAGCTTCTGCCTACGACTTTGTCCGCGTGGAATAGTTACTTTGGGTTAGTGATGATAATAACCTAAGTATAGCCTTCTTTGATAAATGGGCTACATAACACTGAAATATATTTTCAAATCAGACCAGTAGTTCCTGAGATTATCGACAAACAAACTCTTTAGCTTTACAATATTAGTGCAAGTTGCGAAGAAAAATAAGACAATGTTCTGTCGATTTTACCAAAAATAAGATTCGACAAAACCCGCTGTCGATCGCGGAGCAAATGAGCCCCGAAAAGTCCAA